CTTCCCATCGCCTTTATTCCACAAGAATAAAGAAAGAAAATCCACACCCTTTATCCTAGCATTCAATGCCATACATCCTGGCACTGCCACATTGGTCTACTTACTGCCTCTCAAATGACTTAACTAGCTCCTACCTTCCAGCATTTGCTGGTCACTCCCCTGTGTGGGACGGCTTTTCTGCTTCTCCCTTCTATGGAAAGGGTGCCCATCTTCCAAACATTGGCTACAGCCCTTTCCATTTTATGAAGGTGTCACAGCCCACTGAGACGATGCCTTTTTTTTAATTCCAAAAATCTGAATGGAGCTTCTACTAAGTGCCCAGAACTGCTCTAGACATCTGGATTAGGTGACAGAACAAGACAATGACACCTGCCTTAAAGGAGCTTGCACCACAGTCGTCAGGAGGATTGTACAGTAAACTTAAAAGACAACTTATGAAAGTATTACTTGGTGGTGACAGTTGCTATGGAAAAAAACAAGAAAAGAATAGAGCAGGGTAGGGGAGATGAGGAGCTCCCACTGTCTCAGGGCAGAGGGCTGGCTGCAGTGTAACAGGATGACCAGGGTACGTCTCATTGAGGAATCTGTGGACGAAGAAAATAGAAGAAAATCCATAATGTTGAATAATGAACAGAAAGGCCTGCAGGGGCGCCTGGGTGGCTCAGTCAGTTGAGTGACCGACTCCGGCTCAGGTCATGATCTCCCGTGAGTTCAAGCCCTGTATGGGGCTCTCTGCTGTCAGCACAGAGCCTGCTTGGGATCCTCTGTCCCCCTCACTCTCTGCCCCTCCCCGACTTGTGCTCCCAGGTGCTCGCTCTTCTCTCTCTCTCCCAAAAATAAATAAACATTTTTAAAAAACAAAAGAAAGGCCTCCAATGTTTGATACAACCAGTTCAGGTGACATGGAGGAAGAAGTTAGGCAAGTAATGGAGAAATGCTTAGGTTTTATCGCTACGTTCAAAAGTTGCTTAGGTTTTTATTGCTACGTTCAAAAGTAATTTTTTTTAACTTGAAAAAGTATTTGCTTCTACCCCTTCCCTCCATCTTACTGTTCAGGAAACCATCTTACAGACATGTCTGCAATAACGTGATGTTCCCAGTCTGTTTAAAGGCAAAGCAGCGTTGGTAAACACCATCGGCTGTCCAGACTTCTTAACTTAAGCGCTCTTGCTTCCTGATTTTACATGAAATCCTGAAAATGAGAAGTGTTTTCTCCAAAAAGGAGAAAACAGGGTATTGTAAAAGAAAAGTCACTTTATTCAGTATTACAGTTTTAGAAATGGAATTATATTTCCTTTAAGGAATGAGAAACTTTTCTTCTCAACTGTTATTGGTTTGTCAGTATAGGTCAGCAGGAAGAAACAGCCTGTCTCTTCAGCGTCAAGACATCTAGTCCAAGCAATGGTACGCTCTCTTCCTTTTCAGAGATGCTTCTTTTTCTGGTGCTTTCCGTCCTTCTCCGCATTTCATACCAGAGGATCGGTACAACCTTTATTTTTATTTTTTTTTTTATAGATTTCTTTTTTTTTTAATTTTTTTTAAGGTTTTTTTTATTTATTTCTAGAGAGAGAGAGTGAGCAGGGGAGGGTCAGAGAGAGAGGGAGTCACAGACTGAAACAGGTTCCAGGCTCTGAGCTGGCAGTCAGCACAGAGCCCGACGCGGGGCTCGAACCCACGAACCGCGAGATCATGACCTAAGCGAAAGTCGGACGCTTAACCGACTAAGCCACCCAGGCGCCCCCGGTACAACCTTTAAAACTTCCTGAACAAAAGCAAATCCATAGCCGCTGATTTCTTCCCAAAAGGCTCTCCAACCCATCGGAGAGAACCCATGACTGTTCCAGCCACGAAGAAGACCAACAGGACACAGAGGAGTCCAATGAGTAGAAGAAATCAGGCTCCTGAATTGTGCATTGGCTGGTCCAGCATTACGAAACAGAAACTTGCTAACTTCCTGTTGTAAACAGGACGCTGGACGCAAGTGCTTCCATAATATATCGTCCATTTACTCTGCAGGCCAAGAAAGCAGCTGGCCCCTGACACCCATGTCCAGCAGAGACAGAGCCAACACGAGTAGGTTCGGCCGCAACCTCGTCAATTGTTCCTCCCGCAACGAGGAAGTCGGATGCCACCCGCAGAGCTCACACCATCAGGGCTCTGCACCCAGGGCAGCTGCAGGCTGTGGCCATCGAGCACAAGGACAAGACTTATTAGTGCAAAGTCTCCGTGTGGGTGGTGGCACGGGCAGCTGTCGGCCGCAGGCCCCACACGCCACCTGGAAGCGGTGAGGGTAATTTTTTAGACATTAAAACTATAAAAGTATTAACTGGCGATTGCCTCTTGGTGTGGAAAAGAAATAAGACTTGAGAAATTGCAAATACCCCTTTGCTTCATGAAGAAGTCCCTCCTTGTCTCCTTTCTTCCCCTTTCCCTGACTCAGCGATTCTCCCGCTGCTTGGCTTTGACCCTAATCCCAGAACTTCCCGGAGGCTCCTGGGGGGGGCGCCCTTCCAGCCACAGTCATACTTGGAGACAACCTCGCTCTGGGATGGAATCTGGAATCGGGTCTACACGCCTACACTTCCTTCCCATGAGTCTTTGTGCGAGTTCCTCAGCCAACCTGTGTTCATCTGTAAAATGGGGTTTATCTTAACACGGTTCTGCAGCTCACTCGAGATAATTCTTGCAAAGCACTGGGCAGAGGGCCTGGCCCACAGGCAACCCACAGTTGAGTGCTCACTGTCACACCTCCTGCCTCGGGGAGCTGGGGGTGGGTTGGGGGTGGTTATGCCTCCTGTTAGAGCTTTCTTCCTCTTTCTGCGGGAACCCCCCAGAACTTCACAGCCCCTGTTGTCTTCATCTCATCCATACTGTCTTCTGCCCAGCCCACAAGTGGGGAGGTTTCCCACAGCGCTCTCTCTCTGCCCACACTTCCGAAGTGGGCTCCTCTCAGCCACAGCCACGGCACTGGCTTCTACCCCATCCACCCCATTTATATTGGTAGCCACCTCGATTTCTCTATCCCAGCCCCTCCCCCTGCCCTCCAGACTGGTGTATCCTCGTGCTGAGTGCCTCTGCCTACCCAGAAGTTCAAATCTGCCTCACCAGCCCTAGGCTCTACCCCCATCCCTCCTGTCATCAGAGCCTGGTCTGTCTTCCCACCCCTCCCCCTTCCTGTCATCCCCACCTTGCCTCCTCACCTCCAGGAATGTTTCTGCTGTTAAGAAAGATCTTTACAAAGTGGTCCCTGCTCTCCAAGAACTCCCAGGGCAATAAGCTGAGGCAGATAAGGACAAAGGAAAGTTAGGGATGGGGGGCTCAGACTTCTCTCAGGAGGGCTTGGGGAGCCAGTGTAAGACGTTTCCCAAGAACAGACCTAAATACATTTTCATTTTGGAGCAGGGCAAAGGTGGGAAGCCTCTTGATAGTTGCTGCTCTGTTACCTGAGGGAAGAAACAAAGATGGCTCCGCCCAGGCACTCTCACTTGTGAAGACCCCACCTTACTTGGAGACAGGCATTAATACCACAGGAGACACAATTATACTGCCCTTTTTGAGAGATCTCTCATAATTTTGTGGGTTTTTTTTTTAAATCATATGGCTACCAGAAAAGAATTTAATATATATCAACCATTATTTCTCTCAAAGGCCATAACGAGTCAGAAAATCTTGACTATAACAAAAATTAAACCTATAAATTGCTCTCAAGTTTAATGAAATTTTTATGAAATCAAATGTTGACAAGCAAAGGAGCTGATGTAATTTACATTTTGTAGCCATTGCAATAAAAAAATTGTGAACTTTAATTTTGTACCTCCCATGTTTTTGAGCTGATAGTCTCCCACCCCCACCAACCAACACCCCCGGAATTCAAGTGTTTTGGTAGGACCTTGGCACACTTGGAGCCCTAGTGATAAGCTCAGGGGATCTTCCCAGGTCATCAGAACCAAACCTGCATCAGCCAGAATGGAGAGTGTAGTGGACTTCAATATGCCCCCTGCCCAGAGGTGACCCTTTTCAATGCTCCCATCCCCCCACCACCTGGGATGGTGACATTGGGCACCAAACACAGACTGGCAGGAGGGTAGGGTATTTGAGAGAAGCAGAGGGCAGGACCCTCTGAGACTGAGTAAAAGGCACGGGGCTTACTGCTAGCCTCCAGATGGCTTCCACTGCACTGGCTATTATCACTAGTATATGTATATATAATTATAATATATAATATATTATTATAATATAACCTATAGGTCGAGAGTAAGCTTGTCTTCTTATGTAAAGTTTTTGCTAAGGCTTGTCATACATTCAGAGAAGTACACAAATCGTAAGTGAATTTTCACAAAGTGAAGACTTCTAAGTAACCAGCACCCAGATCAAGAAACTAAACATTACCAGAACCCCAGAAGCACCTGTCATGTCCCCTTTGACCCCTTACCCCCCACCCCCGAGGGTAATCACTACCCTGACTTCTCACACCCTAGGTTAGTTTTGGACAGTGGCACTGTTACAATTTTCATTTTTGATTACCAGAGCAGCTAACCCTTCTTCCACGTACTAGTTGATTAATTGAGTTCCTCTTTTGTAAATTCTCTTTTCAAGTTCTTTGTCCAGGAAATAGTTGATTATTAAGCAATCTCCTAATGTCAAGTTTAGCTAACGTTGGACCATAGTCATCTGGACACTGTTCAAAACTGGAGAGGTGTGTGTGCGTGTGCACTTATGCTCGCAAGAGCTCGCTCTGAAAATACTCCTACTTCGTCCCGTCTCTTTACTGCGGGGCAAGGTGGCGCTTCTGTAGGGAACACCTGGCGGGGGTAACTTTTCGGTGACAGAGCTGAGCCTAAATAGACTCTGCTGCTCTTTCAGTGTGTGTGAGAATTACAGAAATAGGTCACTGAACCTTTTTAAAAATAGAACTGACACATTTGGGGAAAGCATTGTTTCTGCTGAGATAGCATACAGGAGGAGAGCTCTAGAGGGTAGATGAATTTAGACATTTGGTATAAAAAATAAGTACCTTCAATGGTAATAACTCACAAGATACATAATGTCTTTCGTAAGAAAGCTCTCCAAACATCATGACCTGAACAGCCTACGGAAAGGTTTCCCACTCCGGTTCTAACGCGGGATCTTCTGAGGTGCAGGCGGCAGCTTACCAGTCCCCCGTCACACCTGGCAACAGCTGTGGATGGAAAGAGAAGGGCCATATCGTCAGCTGCGGTCAGCACTTGTTCCCTCTAAAAGCCCAGATCCGCTGTCTCGCTGGGCTTGCCTCCTCTCCTCTTACATTATTAGACAACCACCTGCTCCCCGCGCACCACTGCCCGTGCTGCAAAACAAGCGGGGACAGGGACAGCTGCCGGAGAGCAGCTCCATCCCAGCCCTTCCAACGACCAGTTTGTGGCAGGCCAGCCCCACAGCTCTGCTCACAGGCTCCCCGCGAGCCATCTAAGGGCCCAGCTCTGCCCTTGGGGGCCCTTTTTGGCCCTCTCCTGAGACATCCGCAGTAAGCTCTCTCTGGCAATTCCCCAGCCCCTCTTGGCACACCCACCCGGCCCGTTCAGATGCCCCATGCACCTCAGGGGCAGACACTTCGGTCCTCTCCAGGGATTCCCGAGGAGCTGCCAACACTGCCATGCTTGGGCTCCGCTAATGAGAGAGGCCAGATGTGTTGGCCGGAAAAGCAAAGCTTGGAGTTACTAGGGGGGCACACTTTGATTCAACCCCAAGGAAAGCAAGGAAGACACATAAAGAGGTTGGTTGTCCCAGGAGTGGGGGTGAATGGGAGCAAGGGAGGAGGGGACAGCGGTGGGGCAGGGACATCTGTGTTTCAAGAAAGTCTCGGCAGCCTGTGGGGGGGAAGGGGGGGTACAGGGCTATGGTGCCCAGGCAAGGGAGCAGCAGCTGTGAGGGGTGGGGGTGGTGAGCAGGAGGGGACAGAGGTATGAGACGTTTCTCAGAAGCAGAACACACAGGCAGGATCTGAGGACTTTGACATTGGCGCCGCGGGAAAAAGAAAAGTCAAAGATGCAGACGCAGTATTTTCTAACAAGAACACAGTTCCTTTTTTATGACACTCATCCACCCAATAAGCACGTGTTGAGTTCTTGCCTTGTATCAGATGATTGTAGACCCTGTGGGAATCACATGGAATTCCTGTCCAAAGGGGGCTTTCACTCTGCTGGATGGTGGGTGGGCTGGGCAGACAACAAACAAATAAGCGGGGCAGGGGGTGGGGGGGTAGGATGATTTCCTGTGGTGATAAGTGTTCTTGAAAGATAATTTGTGCCGGCGGGGGGAAGGATTGTGTGATCAGAGAGGACTTTTCTGAGAAAGTGTCACTGGAGTTGATATGAAGGAACCAGTAAGGGAGAAGAGCCAGATCAAGAACATTCTAGATAATCAAAATCGACTCTACAAAAGGCTCTAAGTAGGAACACATGGCACATCTGAGGAACAGAAAGAAGACCACTGTGGCATGACGAAGAGTCTTACAACACAAACTGATTTTCTGACTATTTGCTGCCTTAGAGTTTCATCTTTGGTTTCTAGACACTCCACACCCCTTCTAGACCCTTCTCCCATCTCTTTTCTGTCTCCCTCCAGACGGGCTATAGTCAGAAGTGAGAACAGTAGCTCTCACTCCCATCTGGGGGTTGCAGAGGGACTACAACCACTTCAGTCTTTGTAGAAACCAAATGGGGAGGAAGTCCTGGGGCCAGCCTGGCTCCTTTTTTCAGGTCCGTAATTCTTAACCACTTTTGAACTATGAACCCCTTTAGTTACCTGATACAAGCTGTGAAAAAATACAAGTATATGAAAAAATTACCTTATAAACAGCAAATTAGCCTACGAATACAAGTCTTACGACCACTGTATCTTCCATAGAGATATATCCATATAGGGTAAAATGTAGGCATAATGATAATAAAAATACATTCGTACAGTGTTTATTTTCCCCACACATTTCCACTTATATCATTTTATCCCATTGACGTCCTTGACATATAGGTAGGAAAGGCATCTGTTGTCCCGTTTTACAGATGAGGACACGGTAATAAAAGGCTAAGTGGCATGCATGCAATAATACTGCCAGTTGGCTGTAGTTTTGGGAAGGAACCAAGGTCTTGTCACTCCAAGGTCCAGGCTCCCCAAGAAGAACAGGTCAGGGCAGTGACCACCTTGACTTCTCTTTGACTTCTCTCCCCATGCCCTTACCCCAGGGACTGGAGACACTCAGTGCAAGGGCAATCTTTGCACATATAACTTGGCCCACATTGCCCTCCTGGTGAGGATATGGAAGAATCATATAGATTCTTATGATATGGAAGAGGTGATATTTTCTAACACAGGCAAAGAAGCACTGAGTCTGATTATAGAAGTCAAAATTGTGTGGATGGAAGGGAACTTCCCGCGAGGGCTTCCTCTTGGCCAGTTAAGTTTAGCGAGTCATTTCCTTTTTCTTCTGAAGACTTACAGCATGTCCTCCTACAGTCCCACAGAAGTGAATCTAGAGGAGTGCCACCTAGTGGCCCAGACGATAAGGATCACTGATTATTTTCCCCTCACCAACCCACCCCCCCATTTCATGGGGCCACCTTGCCAATCAGAAAATTGGACCCATATACCTCTTGCTATCCACCAGGTTAAACACCAAATAGAACAGAAATGTAAATGTACACACTGAAACCACACAAGTATTAGAAGGAAACATAGGTGGATTTATTGATACCTTAGGTGTGAGGAAAGTTTCTTAAACCCTATTCAAGCCAAGGGCAGCTCTGGGTACCTGTTCCTGCAGCTAAGAGAGGCAGCTTTCTCTCCCTGTGACATCCATCTTCCCCAATGAGAGCTAAGTGTCTGTAACCCTCTCCAACCAGGATTGGGTCAAAAAGAGGCAATGTGGACCTCCTGAAAGAGAAACAGGTGAAAACCAATCAGACTGATTCAGCTCACAGCCTTCATCACCTCCTTGGCAGAAGGCAAAAGAAGTCTCACTCCTGTGCCTCACAGAAGGGAGAGAATTAGGACATCAAGATCATTGGAAACCCAGTCCAAGCCCAGCCCACCTCTCAAATAATGCTTTCTAGTGAAAAATAAAATATCTAGATGCAGTAAAAGAAAATATTAGTAAATTCAGCAGAATTTTTAAAAACCCTGCTTGGGGCATCTGGCTGGCTCAATTGGTAGACTGTGTGACTTTTGATCTTGGGGTGGTGAGATGAGCCCATGTTGGGTGTGATTACTTAAAAATCAATCTTTAAGGGCCACCTGGGTGGCTCAGTTGGTTGAGCATCTGACTTCAACTCAGGTCATGATCTCACAGTTCATGGGTTTAAACCCCGTGTCAGGCTCCATGCTGACAGCTCAGAGCCTAGAGCCTGCTTCGGATTCTGTGTCTCCCTCTCTCTCTGCCCCTCCCCTACTCATGCTCTGTCTCTCTCTCAAAAATAAACATTCAAAAATAAATAAATAAAATAAAAATCAATCTTTAAAAATCATTTTAATAAAAAGAACCCCAAACCCTACAAGTCAAAACCACAATGAGATACCACCTCACACTTGTCAGAATGGCTAAAATAACAACAAAGAAACAGCAGATGTTGGCAAGGATGTGGAGAAAGGGAAATCCTCTTACAGTGTTGGTGGGAATGCAAGCTGGGACAGCCACCATGGAAAGCAGTATGGAGGATCCTAAAAAAGTTAAAAATAGAACTACCCTACCATTCAGCAATTGCACTAGTAGGTATTTACCCAAAGGATACAAAAATACAGATTTGAAGGGGTACGTGCACCCTGATGTTTATAGTAGCATTATCAGCAATGGCCAAACTATGGAAAGAGCCCAAGTGTCCACTGACTGATGAATGGATAAAGAAGATATGGTGTATATATACAATGGAATATTACTCAGCCATCAGAAAGAATGAAATCTTGCCATTGCAACAACATAGACGGAGATAGAGTGTATTATGCTAAATGAAATAAGTCAGTGTAAAAAATTTCATATGATTTCACTCATAAGTGGAATTTAGGAAACAAAACAGGTGAACATAGAGGAAGGAGAAAAAGGAGAAAGGGAACCAAACCATAAGAGACCCTTAATAACAGAGAACAAACTAAGGGTTGATGGAGGGAGGTTGGTGGGGGATGGGCTAAATGGGTGATGGGTATTAAGGAAGGCACTTGTTATGATGAGCACTGGGTATTATATGTAAGTGATGAATCACCAAATTCTACTCCTGAAACCTATATGTTAACTAACTAGAATTTAGTAAAAGGCGAAAGATTTATTCGATCTGAAGAGAAACCAGAGTATATTAACTAACTAGAATTTAAATTAAAATTTAGAAGAAAAGCAAACAAAGAAACTCCTGCTGTATGGCAAAACAGAAAACAAAAAAAGAATAACATAGTGAGAGGAAAACTTTACATTTGTCACAGACACAGGCTAATCTGTAATATTAGGAATATAAGGAGTATTGAAATGTTAAGAAAAGAGGCCAAAATAAAGGCCATATGTGAAAAACCTGGAGCCATCATCATACTCAGTGCTGAAAAATAGAGCTTTTCCCCTAAGATCGGGAACAAGACAAGGATGTCTGCTAGTAGGTATTTACCCAAAGCTCACCTTTTTACTCAACACAGTACCAGAAGTCCTAGCCACAGCAATCAGACAAGAAAAAGAAATAAAATGCGTTCAAATTGGTTAAGGAAGAAGTAAAACTTTCACTATTTGCAGATGACATGATACTATATATAGAAAACCCTAAAGGCTCCACCAAGACTACAAGAACTAATAAATGAATTCAGTAAGGTTGCAAGATACAAAACCAATATATAGAAATCTGTTGCATTTTCATACACTTATAATCAAATCGCAGAAAGAGAAATTCAGAAAACAATCCCATTTATAATTGCACCAAAAATAATAAAATATCTAGGAATTAACTTAACCAAGGTGAAAGGCCTATATTCTGAAAACTGTAAAACACTGATGAAAGAAACTGACGATGACACAAATGGAAAGATATTCCATGCTCATGGATTAGAACAAATATTGTTAAAATATCCGTAGTACCCAAAGCAATCTACAGAGTTAATGCAATCCCTACCTAATACCAACAGAGTTTTTCACAAAACTAGAACGAATAATCCTAAAATTTGTATGGAACCACAAAAGACCATTGAATAGCTAAAGCAATCTTGAAGAAGAATAAAACTTGAGGTATCACCAGCCCAGATATCAAGATATACTACAAAGTTGTAGTAATCAAAACAGTAGGGTACTGGCACAAAAATAGATATATAGGGGCGCCTGGTTGGTTCAGTCAGTTAAGCATCTGGCTCTTGGTTTCAGCTCAGATCCTGATCTCACAATCAGTGAGATCCAGCCCAAGTCGGGCTCCACACTGACAGCACAGTGCCTGTTTGGGGTCCTCTCTCATTCTCTCTCTCAATCCCTCCCCCATATGCATGCACTCTCTCTTTATCTCTCTCAAAATAAATAAATAAACTTAAAAAAAAATAGACACATAGATCAGTGGAACAGTACAGAGAGCCCAGAAATAAACCCACAAATATATGGTCAATTAATCTTCGACAAAGGAGGCAAGACTATGCAATGGGAAAAAGACTCTTAAACAAATGGTTCTGGGACAACTGGACAGCCACATGCAAAATAATGAAACTGGACCACTTTCTCAGACCCTACACACACACACACACACACACACACTCTCTCTCTCTCTCTCTCTCTCACAAAATGGCTTACAGAGTTAAATATGAAATCTGAAACCATAAGAATCCTAGAAGAGAGCAGAAGAAGAACTTCTCTGAAATCAGCCATAACAATATTTTTCTATATATGTCTCCCGAGGTGAGGGAAACAAAAACAAAATAAACTATTAGGACTACATCAAAATAAAAAGCTTCTGCACAGCAAAGGGAATAATCAACAAAACAAAAAGACAGGGACACCTGGCTGGCTCAGTTAGTGGAGCATGCAACTCTTGATCTTGAGGTTGTAAGTTTGATCTGCACCCCGCACTGGGTGAAGAGATTACTGAAAATAAAATCCCTCTCTAAAAAAAAGACAACTTGCTGAATGAAAGAAGATATTTCCAAATGACATATCCGAAAAAGGGTTATATCAAAAATGTGTAAAGAACTTACACAACTCAATGCCAAGAAAACAAATAATCCAATTAAAAAATGGACAGAAGACATGAACAACATTTCTCCAAAGAGAAACAGCCTATAGACACAGTAAAAGATGCTCAACATCATCATCATCAGGGAAATGAGAATCAAAACCACCATGAGATACCACCTCACACCTGTCAGAATGGCTAACATCAAAAACACAAGAAACAACGAGTCTTGGTAAGAAAGTGGAGAAAAAGGAACCACTGTTAGTGGGAATGCAAACTGGTGCAGTTTCTATGGAAAACAGTATGGAAGTTTGTCAACAAATTAAAAATAGAATTACCAGATGATCCACTAATTCTAGGTATTTAACCAAAGAATATAAAAAACACTAATTTGAAGGGATACTTGCATCCCTATGTTTATGTTATTACTATTACAGCATTATTTGCAATAGTCAAATTATGAAAGCAGCCAGTGTCCATCAAGAGATGAATGAAGCAAATATGGCACATATATATGTAATATTATGTATATATATATATATACATATATATACAATGGAATATTACTCAACTATAAAAAAGAATAAAATCTTGCCATTCGCAGCAACATGGATGGATTTAGAGGATATAATTCTAAGTGAAGTAAGTCAGTCAGAGAAAGACAAATACCACATGATTTCACTTATTTGTGGAATCTAAGAAATGAAGAAGTAAAGAAAAAAAAGACTCGTAACTATAGAGAAAAAACAGACTCCTAACTACAGAGAATGAACTCATGGTTACTAGAAGGAAGGTGAGTGGGGGGATGGGTGAAACAGGTGATGGAGATTAAGAGTACACTTACCATGATGAGCAGTGAGTAACGTATAGAATTATTGAATCACTATATTGTATACCTGAAAATCATATAACACTGTATATGAACTATACTAGAATCTTTTTAAAAAGAGGCCAAAACTTGATAGAAAACTGGGCAAAAAGCATGAACAGACAGTTCACACACAAACTATGTAGATGGGTCTTAAAAATATGAAAAGATGGGAGGGAGGCACCTGGCTGGCTCAGTCAGAAGAACACGTGACTCTTGATCGTGGAGTCATGCGTTTGAGCCTCACATTTGGTGTCGAGATTACTTAAAAAATGAAAAAATGGAAAGAAAATTAAGATGTATACTTTAAAATTTTTAAAATAAAAATATGAAAAGATATTCAGCTTCTGAGGTGCCTGGGTAGCTCAGTTGGTTAAACATCTGACTTCAGCTCAGGTCATGATCTCATGGCTTGTGAGTTTGAGCCCTGTGTCAGGCTCTGCACTGACAGAGCCTGCTTTGGATTCTTCATATCCCTCTCTCTCAGTCCCTCTCCTTCTCTCTCTCTTTCAAAAATTAATAAATAAACATTAAAAAAAGATATTCATCTTCACTCATAATGATATAAGGCATATTAGAGCTACATTGACATATTAGTGTTTATCAAATCATCAAAAAATCAAAAGTTTGGTAATATACTCTGTTGACGGGCTGTTATGAAAAGGGCATACTCAGGGTGCCTGCCTGACTTAGGCACTAGGGCGTGTGACTCTTGATCTCAGGGTTGTGAGTTCAAGCCCCACATCAGGCATAGAGCGTACTTAAAAGTTAAAAAAAGAAAAAAAGGTGAGGGGGGAACCCTCATAATCACTGGTGGGAGTGCAAAATGTTACAACCCCTAGGGAGAGAATTTGGACTGTCTAGCAAGACTACATATACGTTTACCT